TGCAAGTTTGAAGAAGAGGAAAACGATGGTTGATAAAAAGGAAATTATTATAAATTTCACCTTATTAGGAATTGATAATTTTAAAATATTTGTAAAAATTAAATATATTTTTTATATCCGGCTACATAGGGCATATTTTTGTCTGAAATGCCATTCGTTACAGACCAAGGAGCTAAATATGATTAAAGCATTTGAAAACTACAAACAATTAAATTGTGATTCCCATCTTTTAAATACAGTATTAAGGAATGCTTTCGATAATTGAAATATTGAATCTCAAGGGTCAAAGATATTACAATGTTTTATTGATTGTAAAAGTTTAGTTACCTATGAAACACTTGGTATGTTAATAATTTTTTTATTAAAATATATTTAATTTTAAGTTAGTTTATAAACTTGCAGGCTAAAAATGATTGAGATGATTTTTGATCAAATAAATAATTTAATTAAATATTGGGTGAGGTTAACCAAGGGCGTCGTTAGCCTTTACAATCTCAGGGGGCTCAACTAAAAAAATTTTATGGGGGGCTTCGCCCCCCTTATTCCTCAATTTGCGGGCCTTCGGCCGGGTTTTATATTAATATATTATACCTTTTTAAAATTTATAAAATAATACAATACAAGACATTTCTAAAAATAATATTTTTTAATACAAAATCTATTTATTACAGTATAAAATATTTTCGATTGTTGATATAAAAAAATTTTGCGTCTAAAGAATTATAAATGATAAAAAAAGGTTAGTTAATTCATATATATGCTTCAATTGATAATGGTTTTTGAAAACTACATAATATAATATTAGCAACTTACATTGTCAAAAGGTCATGAAACTAATATAACTCACTGTTGCCATTTTAGACAATGTTTTATAGGGACTAATAAGGAAAGATTTATAGGCCTAACCAAATCAACAATCCTTGAAGAAGAGAATATAAACGACCAATCCAAATTATAAAGCTATATGGTAGTTAGAGCTTCCTCTTAGATGACATGATGAACGCTAGATAAGTAATCGAAAAAATATTGTGAGATATTAAGTTTGTAGATTATCTTCCATTTTTAATGATAAATAAATGACTACACAGTTGACCATTATTGCTTATCTAAATGCGATCATATGCTCTCAGCCACTGTAGTAATAATCTTAAATTACATAGCCACACAAGATGCTGGTTAATTTGCAGTCCTAGCCATGACACTCACGATGATAACTCATATCAGAATTTATTCTGTTAGATAAATTGATAAAACAAAAAACACTAAAAACCTTTAAAAGAAATTATGCAAATATATTGAAGCCTTGAGTTATTTACACGGCAAAAATGCCATATTAGAAATGAAACATTTTGTAACTACAAAATAAGAACCAGAGTGATATCATCAAAGCAATTAAGATTTTATATATTATTGTCGCACCATCTCTAGTTGGTATATTATATCTTAAAATAATAGTAGTTTGTAATAATATTAAAAATATATTCGTATTAAAAATTTAACTCAAATCTATATTCCGAAGAAGAAGAAAATAGCTTCCTAAAAACACGTAAAAAAGAGAAGAAAAGATATCTAATTTATTACATCCATTGTGGGATGAATAATAATACGCTTAATATTAATTATATTGTAAATTAATAGATGGCGTTAAATATTTGTAAGCAAATTGTTACTTATATTTATTATTAAAAGCATTTATTAGTAAAATTTTAAAAATATTAACTGCAATATATTATATAACTGTCAGATTCAGTAAAAGTGGCATTTTATCAAATATTTTATAAAAAATTATATATAATAGAGGATTATAAACTATATGTCTACTTACTTTTTATAAATAAATCTTTTATACTTATTTGGATTTGGACCTTAAGAATAATTTTACGTGATACGTGATAAAAGCGTTTTCGCCCTCTGGTTGTGGATACAACAGAGCTACCTAGGTTTTCCTCAAAAAATCCATCAAACTGGATAGTTAATTTAGGGGAGGAAAAAAATGAGGAGCCCTTCACACGTTTGTGGGCAAGCCGCACGTACTTGTACGCGCAACAGTCCGAGAACTGTCGCTTAAACGTCTATAGGCTAATCAACAAAAGAGATGGGCAAAAACAAAAGCCTATACCCATGAACTGCCTAAATAATTTAATTACTTTAAGGGTGGGTGGTGGCCAATTTTAAGTTTAACATCTAATGTAAGCCTTGATAGTTACTAACAAATAATTGAGAATGTGTTCATATCAATTGAGATTAGAATTTATTCATGAAAATAAGGAAAAGCTAAAATGGGTTTACCACAAATTGTTTAAAAGGTGAAAAATCCAGTGAATAGGCAAAAACTAGTCAGTAATCGGTTTATGACTATCCAGCAAACGAACACCACACAACAAACGGTTATTTTTCCTTTTTCCAGAGAAACAAAAAACTCTATGGAGTGATAGATAGATTATATAGCGAAAAAGGTCTTTGATAATGATAAAGATATGAGAGAAAGGAAACTATGACGCAGAAATAGGAGCCAGCTCCGTAAGTTTTAGGAAATTGAAAAGTAATTGTTGGCCAGGATTAACAAAAGGCATTTTGGCTTGATTGTTATATGATAGTCTATCATTCACGGAAAACTCTACCAGCAAAACATATTTACAAACCTCGCCACCCCCCTGTCGACTGGTTTCTCCATAAATGATGTAACAAGCGAACAAAGACTAATGAAAAAACACTAAGAAAAAGCAAAAGCTCCAGGGCCAGATAATATCACAGCAGAAAAACCAAAAAATAAATAGCATCTATAACAATATCGCTACCTATTTGCCCTCATTTAATAGAAATATGGGAGAGCGGAACTACTGCAGTGGGATGAAATCAAAAATCCTACCTAAGTAACTACCCAAAAACTAAGACCACAAGAAAATTAAGACTTATTGAGCTATAGCCATCACATCCTATAGCATGGAAAAAGCATAACACCCACACCAAAAATACATAAGTATATACAGGCCAAGAAAAGAAAATACTGGATCCAAAATTAATTTAGAAAAATAATCATGCAGAAAAACTAAGTACAAAACCCCTTCTGCTTTACATTTGTGAATTATAACAGAGCTATTGATAATGTTAACCATGCAGTTTTTTCAGAAAATAAGATAAATAAAAGCTGAAGTCAGTGAAGTAAGTAATTCACAGAATAGGTGAAAGACAAAAATTAAGAGGTAAAATTTAGAGATGAAGAAATTAAATAACCTGAAAAATACAGAAAATAAATTATGGGAGGTTTAGGTAATTCGATTTAATTTTTAGTAGTTTTTTTATAGATTTTTTTGTTTTTATTTAGCCTTAGGAATTGCTTCAAATTTAAGTTTAGATCCATTATGTCCTTCAAGGCTCTGTAGAACCATAATGTCTTATATTTGCAATATGTTTTCCCATTAAAGGAGTATAACCAATTAATGGCATCAATAACAAGGCTATTGTTACTATGATTTCTTAAAATATGGGCAAAGAAAGTAAGACGTTTCTTTTTTAAAGATACGTGAACCTGGGTATGGTTAGACTTCTTCCAAAGATTTTCATTTGAGATAATATTTGGATAGAAGATTACAAACGTTTGTAATTTCCTAGTTTCGGTCTTGGTAATCTCCCATGTATCACCGCCATAAAAGAGAATCGGGATGATGGTTGAGTTGAAAATACAGAGTCTTGTGAAAACGGATATCTCTCTAGCTTTCCACAGTTTAAAAAATTTATAAAAAGCCGCCCTAGCATTTTGTAAACGAATTTTTAGTTCTTCTTTACAACTACCTTTATTGTCAATGGTTACACCTAGATATTTAAAAGAATCTACCACCTTAACCAACTTTCCCCCCACCACCAAATTATTCAGAAGAGGCGCCTGGGACGAGGGCATTATCACTGTTTTATCAAAGTTAATGTCCAAGCCAACCTTAAGACTAAAGGAGTTTAATATAGCGATCAAATTTTGGGTTTCTTCCAAACTTTTTGTTATTAAAACTATGTCGTCAGCATAAGATATCACCCTATTTTCCAAGAAAAAAGACTGACTGGAACTTAATTCTAAGAGATTCGCAGTAGCCAGCGTATCTACTATGATTTTATTCATAAGTATATTAAACAAAAGCGGGGAAAGAACACATCCTTGTTTTACCCCTTTTTTTGTCCTAAAAGATGGAGAAACCTTATTATAAATTTTTAAGGAGGCAAAAAGACTACTATAATGTGTTTTAAGGATCCTTATAATATTAGAGTCAATGCCATATTCGGTTAAAATCTTCCAAAGCTCATCATGGTTAACATTATCAAAAGCACGTTTAAAGTCGATAAAAATAAAGTAAAAAGGTAATTTATACTTCTGACATTTCTGCATTATAATCTTTAAAGCTAATATTGGTTCGTTTATATTTCTACCTGGACGGTAAGCACAAATATACTTAGACAAAAGGTTTGGTGTAGAGGAAAGAATGCGATTTTTTAAAAGAACCATAAAAACTTTTGATGTAATAGACGTGAGAGCGATGGCTCTATAATCCTTGAATTTAGATGGATTTGGAATTTTCGGGAAGTTGCAAAAGATAGTCTTATTCCAATCCGCTGGCATCATCCCAGTCAACCATATCTTGTTAAACAAAGGAAGTAAGAACCGAGAGATCGTTAAGGGAGCTGCTTTCAGATGTTCTCCCGTAATGTTATCTGTACCCGGAGATTTATTATTCCTAAGCTTCTTAATGGCAGCCACAATTTCCGCCGATGAAAAGTTTGCATCCAATTGTCCCCCATTTTGACTAGTGGATGGGATTAAGGTAGGCCTCCTAGAATCAAAGACTCCCATATAGTGGTCAAGCCATAACGCTATCTGTTCGTCAGGGTCAGTAATTAACCTATTATTATCCAGTCTTATAGTTGGAAGTGTCTTGAACACTTTGGCTTTACAAAAATAATTTAGTTTCTTATAGGCGTCGAAAGTTCTATTTTCCCTCATATCCCTGTCTATCTCAAAAGCCTTTTTTAGCAATAAAGATCCTTCTATCTCTCCTTAGGAGTCTATGAATTGAGGTCCATAAGTGACCATCGCGCTCACCCCGTAACTTGAGTTGAGCTATCATGCGAGTGGTGTCATCGGATAGCCATTCCTGTCTCGGTGGAGAAATGTTGATGTTTGGGAGATGATTGTAGGCATCAAACAAGTTGTTTTTGAAAGACGCCCAACATTCTTCGACAGATTGAGACTCCGACGAGGATAAGAAAGTTGCCTCTCTATCATTTAAGAATAGATCGAGCTGTAGTTTGACTGCAGGGCGTTGCAGGTAAGTTGCATTTCTCTTCCAGGACAGGTATCTCGGCTGGGGTTGAAGAGAAGGACGCCGAGAGTTTCCCCATAAATTTTTCACAGTGATAGTGGCTCTGATTAATTTATGATCAGAAATATTAATATTTGGCATTACTTTTACATCGATAAACCAACTATGGATGTTCGAGATGATAAAATCGATCTGAGACTTAATATTATTTCTACTGAAGGTTAGGGTGTTTAATTCACTGTGCGAAAAGAAAGTATTTTCGACCTTGAGGTTTATACTCCTGCACATCTCCAATAACTTTCTACTGTCATCACTGTTTAATTGAGAGAGAGTTGCATTCCCAATTACCCCATCTCTAATAAAGGAGTCATCTTTTCCGATCCTAGTATTTAAATCCCCAAGAATTATCAAATTTCGACTCCTAGGAAGAGAGTTTACAATGTTTTCGAGGTCATCGAGGAATGCGAGCCGTTCGTTTCTTCTAGGCGGGGCATAGACATTAACTAAGATTGTTTGCCTGAAGCAGGTATTCAGGTATAGTAAACAGCATCTCTCCGAAATGGGCACAAATTTATCCACGTATTTGCATAATCTTTTGCTGATAAAGAAAGCAACTCCCGACCAATTATTGGAAGTGGTGCCAGAACTATACATTTCAAAGTTATTAAAGGTAGCCATATTATTATCTTTTGAGTGGGTCTCCTGTATCGCGATCACATCCATTTTTTCGTCGACCATGAGCCTTAGAAAAATGGTTAATTTATTTATTAAACCATTTATATTAAGCGAGGACATGATAAAATTTCCTTTCAAACCACTCGGGCGCTATCAGATAAAAAGGATATATGTATACAAAAATATATGTATAATATGATTTATTACAAGTGGTCATACTAAAGATATTTCTTACAGTTTTTGTTTAAAAGAAAAAGGAAGAAAAATTGACAAGGATGTTTGTAGGCTTTAGACCAACCCGGAAGAGAAAGAGTAGAAACAAAGTGAGGTAATTCAAAAGCAATGCCAAAAAGGGGAAGAAAGTGAATTTGGGTTTGTCGATTTTAAAAGGATATTGTCTTAATTACCTAAAGTGTAAAGGAAATTTTTAGGGAAATTCCGATAGAAGGAAAAACATATGTTAGGAAAGGAATAGTGTAAAGGAAATTTCATGAAATTCCGATGAAAGGAAAACATATGTTACCTAAAGGAGAGCCAATCGAAAAATAATAAAAAATGAATAAATAAAATTATTTTCCTAGGACTAATTTAATATAAAAAGACCAAAAATGTTGGAAGATGAGGTCACCTAAAAACTTAAAGAGAAAAATAAAAACGAAAAAGATAAAGATTGTTTAATACAGAAAAACAAATAAAATTTAAAACTGTATAGAAAAAAAAAAATTTACCTCCATATCTCTGTGCACATTTGGAAAACGAGTTGACATGGACATTTATAGAAAAGATTTAAAATTTGAAGGGAAAATAAAATATAGCCAAGCGTATAAAAATAAAAGTAAAACTTTACAAAAAATTTTTTTTTTTATTTAATAGAAGACTATGGAAAAGGAAAAGATTAATAAAAATATATAGGTAAAACAATAATAAGGGGGGGAAAAAATCAGGGCGGGATAACCTTATAACTTTACAATAACCAAAATTAAAGATTATATTAAGCTCTAAAATATATAAATACAAAAATATTAATAACAAGTTGTATAAGACATTGTCGAGAAGCAAGAAAGAGAAAAATTTAAATGTTAAGAAAAGAGAGATCGATGGCGCCCAATATTTGGAAAATTATAAGAAAGAGAAAAATTTAAATGTTAAGAAAAGAGAGATCGATGGCGCCCAATATTTGGAAAACTATTATTTTAAGAGAAACAAAGAATTAATATAACAAAGGCGCCTGGAAAGTTAAAAATATGAAATATTGAAAATAAAATTTAAACAAATTTATGAATAGGCAGAAAAAGTAAAAATAGAAACATATTTGGGAGGGAATCATAAAATATTAGCGAGTGGAAGAAAGGGAAGCAAAATTAATAAAGTCAAGGACTACATTAAAACTAGTAAGTAAGTCGATGTCAAGGACTACAATCAGGGTTGCCAGGTCAAAATTTTCAAATTGTGGGAGAAATTAGGTATTTTGTGGGAGAAATATAAAAATTGTGGGAGAAATTGCTAAAAAAAATTTTTTTGCAGGCCGAAGGCCTGTAAAGGACCGGGATTTAGAATTGACTTAGTTATCCACTTATTATTTTTTATAAATATAAAATCTAATCTATTTTCCAAAATAAAATAGGTAATTATTTTTCAAAATAAAATAGCTAACTTTTTTTAAAATAAAAAAGCTAACTTTTTTCAAAATAAAATAGCCAACTATTTTTCAAAATAAAATAGCCAACTATTTTTCAAAATAAAATATCCAACTCTTTTTCAAAATAAAATAGCCTAATTATTTTTCAAAATAAAATATCCAACTCTTTTTAAAAATAAAATAGTTAACTATTTTCCAAAATAAAATACCCAACTATTTTTCAAAATAGGTAATTACTGTACGACACAAAATTTCTTAGAGTACTATCTTTATTATTAAAAAAACATATTGATTTATTATAATATATTAATTTTGTTTAAAAATAATAACCAACGATCTTTTTTAAATACAAAAGAATGTAAACAAGATAAAATTTTATAAAAAATTGTAATTTTACAATGTAAAAAGATAAATGGGGGAAGGGAATATGATATTTTGAGGTATCAAATCTTCAAAGCATAAATCAGTACAGGGCATTCTATCAACATCTATTTCAAAACAAAAATATTCTTCAAAAATAAGAAATAATATAGATGCAACTACAGTTGCGGAAATGGTAAATACCTATCATGCAGTACAACATTCAGAGAGTTACTCAACATCTCAATGTTGGTAGAATCTTTCCCCATAATATTTAACGACTAATATAAATGAATAGAATACTTTGTAGAACACAAAATGAGCAAGGCTATCAACAATGTTTTAGGATATAAATCCAGAAAGTCAATTCTTGACGATTTGAAAGATGTGCAAACATATGCAATTCTAACAGATGCATCTAATAAGGAGATATCAAAACATTTCCCTTGATCCTCCCCTATTTCAACAAAATTAATGTCATTTTAATAAAACTATTAAAAAAATTTTCTCCAGATATGAAATATCCAAAGACATAGCTAACCATATATAATGGTAAATATGGCAGATTTGGCATTACCAATGAATTGCATGGTAGCTTTCTGATCTGATAATTCCTCAGTGAATTTGGCAAAAACCAGAGTGTATTTACAGAATTGAGTCAGCATAATGTTGGTTGACAGGTTCCTCCTAATACGCGCCATCGTAGAATTTTAAAATACAAACCTTTAAAAAATAAATAGATAATAAAAGCTGTCCTATTTGAAAATAATTTTCAAAAATAAATGGCAGAAGTATATTTAGGAATTTTACATATAGGAAATCTACTATATGCTGTTAATATGCAGTTGCAATCATAAGAATATAATTTAATAAAGGCTCACTAAATTATGCTGCAGAAATACCAAAGTAAGAATATTACTATTATCGGATAATTATTAATAAGATTTAATATGATGTCATGTTTGAGGAGATTGTAATGCTTCTTTATTTTTATGATTTGCCAAAATATTCAAAATATTAATTTTACAATGTAAAAAATAAATTTATTTGATTTTATGCAAATGTATAAATAAGATTTTATAAAATATAGAAAGTCAAATAGTTATAGTTAATTATATTTTATATGAGATTTAAATAATGGAACTAAACGTTTACCGTCGTTATTAAGATATTTATAAAAATCCTGGCATGACATTTTATAATTTTGTTTAACCATTAACTCGGCCTCTTAGGATATCAGCTTAGATTAAAGATGATTAAGATAATAATATTTTCTAAGATGAGTTCCACTTTCATTGCTAATTTTTAAAAATATTACTTCTAATATTAACAATATATTTTTTAATATATAATAGTACATAAGCAGTTTATATTGAAAATAATTTTTCTTTTTATATATTTAATTATAACATTTTATTGTCCAAAAAACAACATCAGTATTGGAAACTAATGCTTTAACCTCAAAACAATCTAAATCTCACCTAGAAGATAACTATCATGGTATATATAAATAAAAATATAAAATATGTATAATATTTAGGATTTTTTAAGCTTAGATTAAAGATGATTAGGATAATAATATTTTCTAAGATGAGTTCCACTTTCATTGCTAATTTTTAAAAATATTACTTCTAATATTAATAATATATTTTTTAATATATAATAGTACATAAGCAATTTATATTGAAAATAATTTTTCTTTTTATATATTTAATTATAACATTTTATTGTCCAAAAAACAACATCAGTATTGGAAACTAGTGCTTTAACCTCAAAACAATCTAAATCTCACCTAGAAGATAACTATCATGGTATATATAAATAAAAATATAAAAAAAGCACTAGTTTCCCATACTATTCTAACTTCAAATTTTGAAAATGTCGAATGGATTGGATTGGATGGAGAATTTAAAATTAGCGGAAAAATAAAATAAAAGAACTAGACATATTTTTCGAATAAATATTTAAAATTTATTTTAAAAATATAAAAATAATCAAATACTGTCTCTCAAAATTATTATTTATATATTAAAAACATAAGCTAAAAAAAAAATTGTGGGAGAAATTAAAAAATTGTGGGAGATTTTTGTGGGAGATTGTGGGAGATTTCTAATTGTGGGAGTTTTGTGGGAGTGAGATGTATGTGGGTAAACTAAAAAATTGTGGGAGACTCCCACTGATGGGGGGAGACATGGCAACCCTGACTACAATTGAAGCATGTAATATGGCGATCAACTAGTAATATGTCCATTTTCATAAATTTGATAGCTTTTTACAAGTTATATCTTAAATTCAAATACAAATTATTTGATATTCAATGGCATAAAATACTTTATTCTAAAAATTGTAATTATATTGGCATAAGATACTTTATTTTAGAGATTGCATTTATAAATTACTATTACAAAAATTTAAGACCATAAGGGGCTGCTAAAATTTGATGGCACAGATTACTTTATTCTATAAATTGTATTTATAAATTCCGTTAACAAAAATTAAAAACTATTTAGGGGTTTCGGAATAAGCAAGATATAAAAGTCAAAATTAATTAATGTTTGTTAAACTAAAATTCTGTGAAGTTGGAAAATTTTGAAGTAATGTTCTTATATGCTAGAGATCCAGAAATAAGTAAGGGAGCTAAGTTTAAAAATTATCATAAAAGGCTATTTACCTTTGTTCATAAGTTTAAAATTATCATAAAGGAAATTATCATAAAAGGCTATATACCTTTGTTCATAAGTTTAAAATTATCATAAAGGCTATTTACCTTGTTCATAACAATAGCAATTCTTATTAACTAGAGATCCAGGAATTTATAAGAGAGCTAAGTTTGAAATTATCAAAAATCCTAAATTTGCTAGAGATTAATTAACCTTGAAATATTATCAAAAATCTTAATTTACTAACGATTTATTAACGTAACTTGAAATATCAAAAACTTAATTAGCTAAAGATTTATTTTCCTAAAATCGCCCATAAAACAAGAAAACTTTACGAGTATTTTTTTTAATCTTTTTATTAACTAAAATATTACGAATAAGATTTACAAAAATACCTTTTTATT